CAAAGGTAGAAGCAGGAGGATCAGGAGTTCGAGATCATCCTCAGCTGCAAACAGAGTTTGAAGCCACCCTGGGCTACAACAGATCCTGACTCGAAAATAAATAAGTTAGAGGCTGGTAAGATGGCTCAGTGGTTAAGAGTACTGACTGCTCTTACAGAGAAGTGGGGTTTGGTTCCCAGCACCCACATGATGGCTAACAACCGTATGTTACTTCAGTTCCAGGGAATCCAACTCCCTCTTCTGGCCTCTGTGGGCATTGCACGTATGTGGTACACTGAAACATATACAGGCAAAACACCCATACACATAAAAAATAATAAATAAAATTAAGTTAATTAAATAATGAACATAAATAAACACACAATGGAAGCTAGAGGTCTCGATGTTCCACGTCAGTGGCAGGTATAACAAGGGATAGAAAGACAGCAAGAATACAAAACGCCAACACTCTGCATCCTCTCAGACAGCAAGAACTTTCTGCCATCAGATGAGCATTCAGTGGACAACAGCACAGCACATGCCCTCAGCAGTGCCGGGCGAACGTGCACAAAGGCAAAACTGTGATCGGCCAGAAAGCATCTCTTAGTCAACTGAAAGGATTCTGAGTTCTTCGGTGCTCCCTGGTCAATGGAATGAAGCCAGGCCTGAAAACCAGGAACAGCTGGAAAATTCCCAGGTATTACACCAATTAAACAAAAGAAAATCCTAACTAACTAATGAAACAAAAAGGGAGCCTCAAGAGACATAGAAAGTATCTTGAGCTGAGTAAAGAAGGTAATTAAAATCTCCAGCATATCAAAATGTGCAGGATGTAGCCGAAAAGGGCACAAGGGGAAATCCATGGGATTAAATGTCTCCCTTCAGAAAGAATTAAACTAACTACGGAACTTTGAAAAGAAGAGCAGATACTGCCGAATACAGCACTGAGAAGGAAATAATAAAAACAAGGGCAAAAATCAACAAAAGTAGTAATAGCCAGGTATGGTGGTGCACACCTTTAATCCCAGCACGTGGAGGCAGATGCAGGTGAACCTCTGTGACATCCAGGCTAGCCTGGTCTACATAGCCAGTTGGAGTCATAGGGAGACCCTGTCTCCAAAGGAAGTAAGGGAGGGAGGGAGGGAGAGGCAGAGTTGGAGAGATGATTCAGTGGTTAAAAGCACTCGCTGCTCTTCCAGAGGACCTGGGGTCAATTCCTTAGCCTCCCTGGATGAGGGCCTGTAAGTTGCAAGATGAAATAAACCCTTTCCTCCTCCCAAGTTGTTTTGGGTCAGTGTTTTATCACAGCCACAGGAAGCCAGACTAGGACACAGGTAGAGCCCCTTTCCCTCATCACATGTGCATGGCCAGCGAGACTTGGCTGGCTGGCCACCAACACGCAAGGCCAACCTCTCATACCACCTGCTTACACCTCACCTGCAGTAACCCCAACACTGTGGGCTTGACACTCACCACAGCCCTCACTGCTCCTGCTCTGTCCTCTGTCTTGACACTCACCACAAACCCCAATGCTCCTGCCCTGCTCTGTCTTTGACGCCTCCTCCGGGGTCATCAGCTATGTGTCGATCCCCCTTCATGGTATCCTGTAGAGCCATGAGTCCATTCTCACTAGTCCCTGTACATTGTGGACTTCTGGGACCTCCTTGTCTGTTGGGCCACAAACCAGGCTCCTTCCCTGACTCCTAGCCCCCTTCAAATTCCCTCCACGACTGGTCCAACCCACCTGTCATCCTGAGCTCTACCACCCCCATTCTAGAGCTTCATAATTTCAGCTCCATGTGGATTTAAGAACAGATAACTCCCTGCTGATAGGGCCATCCTGTACACTAGAGGCATTTTTCAGCATCCCTGACGTGGGTCCAGTCAGTGACAACCACCTAATAGAACCCACCACAACACAGCAACCAAAATTGTCCCCATCTGAACCAGGCCCCTCGCTCTACTGAGAGTTGGGTTGAACCAAACCTACCTCACACCAAGAGTCTCATAAATCTATGCCCAGAATACCAGTAGTGACAATGGCTGCCAGGCTGGGATCATCATTGAGCAAATAAAGTTAAATGACTTCCTACCTTCTCTTCCCCTCCTTTCCTTTCTTCCTTCTTTCCCTGTTATGGGGATTGAACTCAGGACCTCATGCATGTCAGATAAGTATTCTACCATTGAACCATGCCCCTATCCCCTCACTGGGGGACTCTAGCAGGTACTGTACCACTGAGCCATGCCCCCAACCCCTAACTGGGGGATTCTAGCAGGTGCTCTACCTCTGAGCCATGGCCCAGACCCTCAATGAGGGATTCTAGGCGAGTGCTCTACCACTGAGCAACACACCAGCCCCTCACTGGGGGATTCTAGGCAGGTGCCCTATCACTGAGCCACAACCCCAACTCCTCACAGGCTGATTCTAGGCAGGTGCTCTACCAAGCCCCACCTGCAGCCCCTCACTAGGGAATTTTAGGGACATGCTATACCCCCAACTCCTCAGAGGTTGATTCTAGGCAAGCTCACTACCAGTGAACCACATCTGAGCCCATCACTGGGGGAGTCTGGGCAGATGTTCCATCACTAAGCTATATCACCAACTTTCCTTTTACTTTTTGTTTTGAGACAAGATCTCACTAAATTGTTCAGGCCAGCCTTAAATTCAGTCTATAGTCCTAGCTGGCCTTGAACTTGGGATCCTCCTACCTCAGCCACCTGAGCAGCTGGAATGACAGGCCTATATGACCAAGCCTAGTAATTTCTACAGAAGATGTGGTTTGAGATGGAAAAGGACATAAGGTCCCCAGCTCCTCCAATTCTTTATTAGTGCAAAAAACAGATATACCTCCCTGCCCCTTCCAGGTCTCTTTTTGTGCCTGGGACAGAACAGTGACTACAAGCGCAGGATGAGTCACAGTCATTCATGACTATTTTCACCTATCAGCTGTACAAGGAGCAAAAAAGCTTTTAAAATTAAGACAGCCAGTGTTTGGGGAGATGGCTCAGTTGGTAAAGTGTTTGCCCTGCAGCATGAAGACCTGAGTTCAGATCTCCAGAACCTACATAAAACCTGGATGTGGGGCATGACACCTAAAGTGTCAGTTTTGAGGAGGTGGAGACAGAAGGAGCCCTGGAGCTCACTAGGCAGACACCATAACCCTAAGCCTGGTATACCAGGTTCAGTGAGAGACCCTGTCTCAAAAAATAAGGTGGGAAGCTGAAGAGATGACTCAACAGCTAAGAGCACTGACTGCTCTTGCAGAAGACCAGGGTTTGATTCTCAGCACCCACATGGCAGCTAACAACCATCTGTAACTCCAGTTCCAGGGGATTCAGTGCTCTCTTCTGGCTTCCGCGGGCACTACAGGACACGGGTGCACTTGTATACATGCAGGCAAAACACTCATACACATAAAATAAAAATAAATAATTTTTTAAAAGAGTCAGAGGCAGGCAGGTATCTGTGACTATGGACAACCTGGTCTACATAGCCAATTCTAGACCAGTCAGGGCTACATAGGGAGATCCTGGAGAGAGAGAGAGAGAGAGAGAGAGAGAGAGAGAGAGACTTTCCATGCCACCAAACATGTCTGGGGATGTTTTCCTCCACCCACACTATAAGTCAGCCACACAGATCAACAAAAACTGCACAAGCCCACATCACTTCGTGATCAAGCTCTCTGCCTTTCATTCATTTATTTGTGTGTGTGTCTGTCTGTGTGTGTGTGTGTGTGTGTGTGTGTGTGTGTGTGTGCTGTGTACAAAGTTGCTGCATGTGCCTCTCCATGTGGAGGTCAGAGGACAACCTCAGCTGTCCCTCCTGAGGAACTCCATCCACCTTGTTTTTTTGAAACAGGGTTATTTACTGGGACCTGGGGTTTAATGATCAGGCTGGGATGGCTGGCCAGCAGTGAGCCTCAAGGATCTGCCTAGTTCTGCCTCCAGAGTGCTAGGATTACAAGTGTATGCCACCATGCCTAACTTTTTTTGCTCAGCTAGGCAACATGGTACAGGCCTGTAATCCCAGCACTCAGGAAGACTGGGTAGGAGGATTGCTGCAAGCTGAAGGCCAGCCTACGGTCTTCTTCATCTCAATGTACACACACACACACACACACACACACACACACACACCTAGACTTCATCCATATCTGTTGCCAACCTGAAAACTGCTAGTGTGCTGCACTGCCACTAACCAGCCCGATTCATAAAACCTGAACTACCACCCATGAGAGAACTGAAGACCTTGAACCTCACAGAAGCAGAAGGAAGGATTCTAAGGCCCAAAAAAGAGCCTAAGGCCAAACAAAGAGCCAGCCCCAAGTTACCTGTGTTCCCCATTGTTTATTTTTGGTGCTAGAGATGGAGCCCAGGGCCCCATACATCCATCACTAAGCTATACCTCTGGCTCCTCACTGGGGGATTCTAGGCAGATGCTCTACCACTAAGCCACACCCCCAACCCCTCACTGGGGGATTTAGCAAGTGTTCTACCACTGAGCCACGCCCCCAACCCCACACTGGGGTATTCTAAGCAGATGCTCTACCATTGAGTCACATCCCTAGTCCCTCACTAGGGGATTCTAGGTAGGTGTTCTCCCATTGAGCCTCAGTCCCTTACCCTCACTGAGGAATTCTAGGCAAGAGTTTTACTGAGTCATGCTCCCAACCCCTCACTGGGGGATTCTAGGCAGGTGCTCAACCACTGAGTCATGCTCCCAACACCTCACTGGGGGATTCTAGGCAGGTGCTCAACCACTGAGTCATGCTCCCAACACCTCACTGGGGGATTCTAGGCAGGTGCTCAACCACTGAGTCATGCTCCCAACGCCTCACTGGGGGATTCTAGGCAGGTGCTCAACCACTGAGTCACACCACCAGCCTTGTTCCCCATCTTCTTGGCAAATCCTGAGACATCAGAATATTACTCTCTTGCAGTCCCAAGGAGGGACTTGAACCAGCTCTGCCCAGGTCACCTATAAGAAGACACTGTGAGTAGGGGAGATGGAAGTCACCTACCTTCTCCAGCTTCTCAAAGTGCTCTCGGAGGAACCTCAATGGCCGGTCTGGCTTGGCAACACAGAGGTGCACGATGCAGTCCTTGAGCACCTGCTGGATACCGTGCTTGTGCACATACATCTCGCATCCTTTCAAACTGTCCTCATCCTCTGAGTGGAAGGACGATGGGGAGGCCATGGTCAGGATGTCTTCTACCTTTCTGTTCAGGAAAATGAAATGGGCCTTAGAAGGTACTGGGGGAGCCAGACTGTAGTGCTCTGCTTTATAGACATACACATCTACCCAATCTGCCTGTCATCCCAGCTACTCAGAAGACTGAGGCAGGAGGATCATGAGTTCAAGGCCTTCCTGGGCTATAGAGGGAGCTCAAGACCAGCCTATTCAATTAGTGAGCACCTATCTCAAAGTAAAAAGTAAAAAGAGGGCTGAAGCGAGACTAGGAATTCGTACAGTTGGTAGAATGCTGGCCTAACATATACAAAAATAACCTTGAGTCCCCAGCACTAAATAAACCAGAGGTGGTAGCATGTCTGTAACCCCAGCATTTGTGAAGTAGGGACAAGAAGATAAGGAGTTTAAAGCCAGCCTTGACTACATGTCAAATTGGGGGCCAGCCTTCCCTACATGAGACCCTGTCTCAAAAAAAAAAAGAGGGAAACAAAAAATGGGCTGAGGAGATGGCTTAGTGGGTAAAACGCAGGACAAATGAACATTAGGATGGGAGTTCAGATTCCCCAGCACCGAACCAGGTGTGGTAGCACGTGCCTCTAATCCCAACACTAGAGAGGCAGAGGCAGGAGGATCTCTCTGAGATTCAGGCCAGCCTGCTCAAGTTCCAGACCAGCTGGGTTACAGGGAGACCCTGTCTCAAAAAACAAAACAACAACAACAAAAACCAAAAACAGATCCCCAGCACTCAAGTAAATAAATGTCTGGTGGGCATGGGCATGGAAGTGTACTTGTAATCCCAGGGTCAGTGGAGTGGAGACAGGGGATCCCTGGAGCAAGCTAGGTAGGTAGACTAGCTGAATTGATTAGCTGTGAGGTTTCAGGGAGAGACCCTGCCTCAATGAATAAGACAGTGAGTGATCAATGAAGACACCCAATTTCAACCTCTGACCCCCCCCACACACACACGCATGTGCACCCCACACATGTGCACCTACACATATGTGAATATGCCCACAAATTTAAAAATTAACTTTAAGTTAAATAAAACCTAGAGGGTTGGGGATGTAGATCAGTGGTGGAGAGCCTGACCAGCATATAAGGTTTATCTCTGGTGATCAAATTCGAGGAAGGGTGTACCACCAGAAACAGTCATTAAACTGCGTTTGTCAACAGTCTTTCTCTGGAGGCAGATGAGTTCGTTCATGCCTCAAAGCCCCACTTGCCTTTCTTACCTCTGGACAAATTCTTCTAGGGATGGATAAAGGTCCAGCACGGTTTGTATATGCTCTGGAAGCCCCTTTCTCCAATTCTGAGAAATCTGAGGTGGTACAAGCTGGGTGCATGGCGCCCCCAGTACCGGGCCCAGGCCATAGGATGGTCTCATTTTCATCCCCCTCCCCGTTTTTCAAGTACACTTGTGTGAGATGGTGCTGTTGTCACGATCTAGGGCCCCATCTGAGAGTCGGGAGGCAGGAGGTGCTGTCAAAGGGTGGTTTGTTTCACGGAGAAAAGAAGAAGAAAAGAGGAAAACAATGGAACTGAGCTGGGGAGCCTTGGAAGACAATAGCAACAGCTAGAACGCTCCAGAACTCACCCTGCGCAGGGTTGAGTCACAGTGTCCAGATCATCGCCCGGCCCTACACCGATTGGAGCCACAGGCCAAAGGCCCTGGGGTTTGCAGGCCACTGGTACCCGCGCCCGGGAGTTAGGCCTGTTCTCTGCACCGCGGGGACGCTCCTGGACCATGACCTGGCCCGGGCCCACGGAGGAGCAGGCGGGGACGCCCCCAGACCATGACGGCTGCAGGGGGCGCCCCCGACCGCGGTGGGGTGCGGGGAGCCTTCCCCGCCCTGTTCTCCATCCCTGCACCCGGGTGCACCCGGAGGCCGATCGACCCCCCCGCAAGCCCGCAGGTCCCCGCGAGTCCCCCGCCCCAGTGCAAACCCCATCCCGCTCGGCGTACCTGTGGATGCGCGGCCGCCCGAGGCAGGAGGCAGCTGCGGGGACTTGGGGACGGGGACGGCGAGCGAGTCCCCGCACTGCAGCGCCGCCCTCCTCCCGCCCCCGCCGCGCGCCACCGGCCGCCTGGCCCCGCGCACCGCGCCCGCGCCTCGCCCACCGGCCGCGGCCACTCCTGCACGGAGTGACGGGCACAGCCCTGGGCGCGCAGGCCCGGCGCAGCGACCATGACCAGCACCTCCTGCAACACCACAGCCCTCTTCTCCTGAGCTCGCCCACCCCGGCGGCAGCGACTCTAGGGCCCAGATGCTGGCCCTGGCACTCCAAACCTGGGTCTGAGCTGCTGACTCCCCTCTCCGCAGCCCAGGCCTGCAGCCAGAGGTAACCTCTGCACATCCTGTTCTGCGCCATCTGTTCAGATGTGGGCAAGAAGTCCCCCTTTCCCAGCGGTCTGAGCAACAGGAGAGATGGTTGGCGCTCAGGCCAGGAAAAAGACATCTACTCCCATCTTCACTGGCATGTCTATACTGCCCTGTCCACCACATGTTCCCCACTCACCTGTCCACATTAACCTGCCACTCCTAACTGTGCCTCCACTCACCTGCCCCCCATATTCCACCAGCATCTGTCTACACACACCTGTACCCCACTCACCTGTGCACACCGCCTGCCCTTCACCTGTACCTCATTCACCTGACCACACTTGCCTCTTTGCTACATTCACCTGGCCACCCTCTCCTGACACACACACCTCACTGTCCACCAACCTGGCCTGTTCTCTCAGGAGTCCTGGCCAGCTGTGGCCCAGCTCTTAAAGTGTGAGGATCAAGGTAAACCAAACAGGTCTAATAAGAAGCTACAGGCTTTGGGCTGGGAAGATAACTCAGTGGGTAAAGACACTTACCACCAAGCCTATTCCACCTGAGCTCAATCCCCTGGGACCCACATGGTGGAAGGAAAGAACCAACCCCCAAGAGTTGTCCTCTGACTTCCATACTCTAGACTCTGGCACATGCACATATACACACAAAATAAATAAAACACAAGGGTTTTTCTTGGTCTTTTGGAGACAGGGTCTTCCTGTAGCCCCAACTAGCTAAGGTAGACTAGTCTGGCCTTGAACTCACTGAGATCCACCTGCCTCTGCCTGCCTAGTGCTGGGATTAAAGGCTTGTGCCACCACTCCTGGCATAAAATCAATTTAAAAACAAAAGGCTGCTGCTTCTGGCTGGGACTAGGCCTCAACTGGTAGAGCGCATGCTTGGCATACACAGAGCCAGGGTTCCATCCATCCCCAGCACCTCATGAACCCAGTCATGGTGCAGGCCTGTAATCTCAGCACTTGGGAGGTGGAAGCAGGCATTTCAAACCCATCCTAACCTACATAATATATTTGAGGCCAGCCTGGGCTACTTGAGACTCTGTCTAAAATAAGATTAATAAATAATAAAATAATAAAATATAAAACAAAAAAGCAGCAATAGCTCCCATTTCCCCAGCCCCTCCCTCCAGCCTGCCTCCATGGCTCTGTCCACTCAGCAGGCAGGCAGACACTTTCTAGGCTTACTTATTAGAAAAGGGTCTTTTGACT